CCTCTTTCCCTGTCTTCCCCCCCCCCCCCTCCCCCCCGCTCCCCAACCCTCCGTTACTTTTTTTTTACTGTTTTATGAGCCTAAACTTTTGCACCTCTCAATTGCTTTATCGCTTAATTACCCTGAAAGGACCCTATTTCTCCTGAATGGGGAGAACTGGACATTCCTCTCCCCCCCCCGCCCCACACCCTCCTTTCAATAGGAGAAGCTTCCCTCTAAAGTTTATGGTACTTTTACAACCTCCAGGACCCCCTTTTTGTGTCTCTCCTTAACCTCCTCCTCCTCCTCCCCCTCCTCCCCCCCTTCCCCCTCCCTGACTCAGTTATTATCTTTTAACCCTCTAGAGATGTGATGGGGGGCATGAGATGGAGGTGGCAGTTTTAGGGGCTTGGTGAGGGGAGGACGTTCGTGTAAGGAAACCAGGATGCTAGTAGGGGAATCATTTTTCCAAGGAGGTGACAGGACTGGGAGGTAGGGAGCGCTGGGGGCCGTCGGTTTCTTTCGGGAAAGCAGGGTGGCGCGGAAAGCTGGGAGATCAGAGCGCCTAACGCAGCCTCTCTCCCCCTCCCCCTTTCCGCTCTCCCTGGATAATCGCTCCCTCTCTCTTTTAAAAGCTTGTGGAAGGGCAGTTCTGCCCCTGCCTGCCTCCGTGTTTGTGTGTGTGTGTGTGTGTGTGTGTTCGTCCCTCCTCTCTCCCTCTCTCTCCCTCTCTCTCTCTTCTAAGCTGTTTTATGTGTCTTCTCAATCTCCTTTTCTCTCCCTCCCACTTCTCTCCTGCAACACCCCAGCAGCCGCTGGACGGAGGAGAGGCAGGCAGACCTACAGCCGCTACCAGACCCTGGAGCTGGAGAAAGAGTTCCTTTTCAATCCTTACCTGACCCGCAAGCGGAGAATCGAAGTGTCGCACGCGCTGGGACTGACCGAAAGGCAAGTGAAAATCTGGTTTCAGAACAGGAGGATGAAGTGGAAAAAGGAGAATAACAAAGATAAGTTCCCGAGCAGCAAATGCGAACAGGAAGAGTTGGAGAAACAGAAAATGGAAAGGGCACAGGAGGTGGAAGAGGGCGGAGAAGCACAGACGGGGGACAAGAAGTAGGCGCTGGTAGGCGCTGGAAGACTGGACAGGCAAGCCTCAGAAAGCCCCTCGTCCTTCCATTAATGCCAGTTGATGTGAGAAGTGGTGGTGGGGGATAAACACTGCTTTAGGGGAGGGGATCTCCCCTTTTATTGTTGTAAAACAATATAGCTGTGAACGTCTACTTCTCCCGATTGTCCTTTGATACATACAATGAACTATTCTATATATTTAAAAAAGAAGAGAGGTCTTGGGGTCTTTTTAGCCTTGTTGTTATTTTTCTTTTCCTTGACAGTTAAGAATTAGTAAATAGTGTGATGCAATAGCTTCTGTTAACCATGACTGTGAACATCTCTCTCTCTCTCTCTCTCCCTCCCTTCCTTCTTTCCTCCTTCTGTCACCTCTTCTGGTGTTCGCACTTCCCTCACCCTCATCAGGGTGACAGGTTACTCTCTCAATGTTGTAGAAATTATGTAAAAATAATGTTCTGCACTTTGGAAGGCTTTCCTCCCTGCCTCCCGTCCTTCTTTCTTTCCTCTGCCCCCTCTCTTTCTCTCTAATATAAATATATATAGGAATTATGTGAAAATGATACCTAGTGCACTTTTTAAAACAAACTCTGCCCTCCTCTCCTGTTCTCTCTCTCTCTCTCTCTTCCACTCTTTTCTTGTTGTGGTTAAATTCTTCTGGAGGTAGCTCTAAAACACACCCAACAACATGAAACTGCCTACTTATGCTGTAGTTGTCTTCATTTTTTATTGTTGTTGTTGTTGCTTATTTCCTACCTAGCTTTTGGCTTCCCATTTTGCTTTTTTTAAAAATTCTTTTTATGTGTCTATCTTTTAAAGGGGGAGGAGAGGAAAAAACAACACAAAATATAAAGAGATGGTCTCCCTGTCTCCTCTCCACCTCCTCTCTCTCTCTCTCTCTCTCTCTCTCTCTCCCCTTTAGGTTAGCATGCGCACAGTGGAAGAAGTTGTAAAAAGTGTCATTCCCTTGGGTTTTTTTCCCCCCTTTAGGTTTACTGTGAAAAGAAAAAGAGAATGTATACTGTATACGTGAATTACTTTATGGGGGTGGGGAAACTAATGCTATATTTTGTTGTTCTTTCTTCACTTTGTTCTATTGTCAAAGCTGGAAGCAGCGGAAGAACGGAGTTACAATAAAGTTTACAAGCCGCAATTTCCCCCGTGACACTCTTCTTTCTTCACTTTGCTTCACGTCTTGGAGAGAAGTTAAATAACAAAAACAAACCACTGCCCACTGGAAGCAAAAGGCAGGAAGCCAAAGAAGCTTTTGGAAAGACACGGTTTAGGGAAAATGTACCAGAAGTGTGTGTGTGTGTGTGTGTGTGTGTGTGTGTGTAGGAGAAGAAACGGGGAGAAAAGAGTCTGTTTTCTTTCTTTCCGAATTGTTGCAGAAATATGAGTCCAGAATTAGGTTTAAAATTTGGAGGTTGGAAAGCTGTCCTGAGTTTCAGGAAACTTATGATGGCTTGAGTGTGTGAGTGTGTGGGCGCTCGCTCCCGTGCGCGTTCGTGTATTTGTCACAGCTGAATTCCAAGCCTCTTGTTCTTTTTTACTCCTTTTCTCTGGTCTATCCGTGGCACGTTGTCAATTTTCTTGCCCTCACTGGTTCCCCGCTTCCTATGACGAGTTTAACTATGATGTATACACCACCAACCCCCCCATCCCTCCACCTCCCTTTTTTTGTAACTTAACCTTGAAAAAGAGGGACTTCTGCCAATTTCTTAACTGCAAGGCCATCTTTATTCTTATTCGTCAGAGGGTTTTGATAAAATGTGTGTTTTCCTCTCCCCCCTCCCTCACTTTCACTCACTCACTCTCCTCTGCTTCCTCCCCACCCCCTTTTTAAGTTTTTTTGTTTGTTTGTTTGTTTAATTTAAAATCTTCCCCGCTTTCGCAGCAGAACACCGAGTAACCAGCTGGTCACATTTTCCTTCTCACTGTAATTGAGTCCAGCAGAAGAGCTGACACGCTTAAATAGAGATCTGTTGTAATCTTTCCTCCTCCCTCCCTCCCTCCCTCCCTCCCCTTCCGCCACCAGAAAAGCAAAGCGGAGCTCCCAGACTCAACGCCTGTGGCAGTGGAATAAATTACATATAGAACTGAATGGCTCTTGGAGGGGGGGGACTTAAGGGGGGGGTTGAAAGTGAAATATTAACTATCGGGTGGGGAAGATTGGTGGAGACGAACGACAAGAAGCCTCTTTTTTTTTTAATGGGGTGGCTGGCGCATACCCGAGCCAATGGAATATCACAGAAATCCATCTGAAGGCCGCGGGATAGGGCGGGATACACATCTACCCTCACTTGTCCCCTGTCCGTTTCTGTGTGAACCCGGGGTTTCTCTCTCTCTCATTCTGTGCGTGTGTGCAAAGTGCAATCCTCAGCCTTCTCGTTCTCTCCTGCATCTCTTGTTTGCATCTGTTTCCTTAAAGAAAAACAAGAAACGGGCCAAATGTACACCGCAGGAAGTTCTCCCAGGGATCCTGCTTGCAGATTTTAACCCTTCAAAGAAGCGTCCCCGCCCCTCATCCCTGCTCCCCCCCCCTTCTCTGCTTGGCCTCCCCCTTTTCATCCCTTGTACTCTTCTTCCTCCTCCGCCCTTCGTCTTGAGCCCCGAGCCCAGCCCCGAGCCCGACCACCTCTGCCCTCTCTTCGGTGATCTTTCGCTTCTTCTCCTTCCCCACCACTTCTTCTCCGGCTCTTCTTACTCTAGAGAAGGGGGCCGCAGCCGGTGGCTTATCGACTGGTGGGCACCCTGCGCCTCCTTTCCGGCTTCTCTGCCTTGGGAGGCTTCGGATCCTCTTCATCAATAATGCATCGTATTGTATAACTCCCAACCCGGACCCCATCGCCTGTACACAGTGTTTTTCCCCCCTTTCCCATATTACAAGGGGAGATAGCTTGGGAGGGGAAGAGGGGGAGCGTTGAATGGGGGGGGGAGGAAACTGGGCGCCGATTGGCGGGGCCGGAGTCACGGGCATTAGAGTCACATGGCCAAGGGAGGAAAAAGGGGGTCCTTTTTGGTGTAAATCTGGAGTCTAATTCCGTAATATATCACGGTACCTCGTAAAACCGACACTAAAACGTCCCGGCCTACAAATCACCCGGCCAGATTATGAGTTCATTGTATTATGCGAATGCTTTATTTTCTAAATATCAGGCCGCAAATTCGGTTTTCCCCTCCGGAGTGTTTCCTGAGCAAACTTCTTGCGCATTCGCTTCCAATGCCCAGCGCACCGGGTATGGCTCCAGTGCCACGGCCTCTTTCGCTGCGTCCATGCCTGGTCTGTACCCCAACGGGGGCGGCATGCACCCCCAAACCCCCGGCATGTACTCCAGCAGCTACGGTCTGGAAGCCAGCTCTTTCAACATGCACTGCTCCCCTTTCGAACAAAACCTCTCCATGATGTGTCCGGGAGACGCGTCCAAACCCAACTGCAACAAAAGCGACCAGAGGGACGCGGACTTGCGACACGAAAACAACTTGCGAATATATCCGTGGATGAGAAGCACAGGTGAGAGAGAGACCTCCGAGGTGGTGGCGGTGGCGGTGGCGGGGGCAAAACCTCCGGGAGAAGAGGAGATAAATGACGGGGAGGGGAGGGGGGGAGTTGTGTTGTTTGGAGCGGAGGGGGGGGCGAGAGAAAGAGGATGGTGCTAAACTCCTTTTATGACGTTTGCTTCGAAATGACACACACTCTCCCTCTCTCTTGTCTCTTTTTCTCCCCCTCCTTCCCTTTCCCTCCCCCCCGAGACCCCTCAAGAAAGTAATACCTAAACAAACAAACACATCCTTGAATATGCATTAGTTCTGCTACTCTTCCTGCTGCCGGCTTCCTCAGCGCAAATGACAGTATACTTTGGGGACACAGAACTACACAATTGGGGAGTGGGGGCTGTGAGTGAAGTCTTGCTTCGGACACCCCCTTTCTTTCTTTCTTTCTTTCTTTCTTTCTTTCTTTCTTTCTTTCTTTCTTTCTTTCTTTCTTTCTTTCTTTCTTTCTTTCTTTCTTTCTTTCTTTCTTTCTCTTCCTTTCTACACGTGTGCACATCATGTCGATAGGAGCAAAACCGAGAGAGCAAGGTCTCGGGAAAGAGGGCCTGACAAACAAGGAGTGTACCATTTGGGTAAGCTAAGAGCCTTTCTTTAATCGGCTCAAACGCCGCTGGCTGTAAAAGCATTTATTCAGAAGTGGAGTTTCAGAGAGAGAAAAAAAATCCTGCGTCCCTACCGCCCCTCCCCGCCCTCAGAACTGGCAAATTCCGCAGGCAATTGTAATCCCAACAGGCCCCTGGAAAAGGAAATAGGAAGGGAGCGGAATGCGGAGAGAAGGAAATAAATATCGTCCCTTCCCGAAGGCATCCCACATTTGTTTAGGAACAGAAAAGTGTGCAAGCGACTGTTTGCGGGGGAGATGCTAAAGGACGACGCAAAAGTGGGACAGATAAGATACTTCGGACTTGTAACATTCTCCTCCCCCCCCTCCACCCCGCATCTGTGCCTGAATCTGCTCAACACTGACAAGCGTCTGCTATCTAATCTGTCTGCCTAGGTTGTCTGTCTGTCTTGTCTATCTGATTCCGACTGTCTGGTATTGCTCTTGCTATGAAAGACAATGTCTCATTTGAGTCGGCCAGAGCATCAGACAGGACAGAGAGGAGGGGAAGTAAATCCACCCAAGAAGGGTCTCTAACGCGCAAATGCATGGCCTTTTCCTATATGCCTATGGAATTATAAGAGTAATAACACAAATCTCCTCGTGAACAACTACAGTTGTTTCAAGTGCCAGTACCTTCCTTGCTTGGTGGCACTGGTGCTCGCCTTACTCGGCCCCTAAAAATCTGCTCCGTTTCACCTAATACTGTCAGAGGAAACGTATTATTAGGATCAATCACAGTAAGCTATGATGTATGTATGTATTTAATTTACACGATGCCTTTTCCCATGCTAGGACACAAGTCAGTAGGAGAGCTTTTGAATTCCACAGAACGCTTCGTTATATTTGATGTTCACGGATGTCCTATGCACACCTACCTGAGAGCAGGTTCCATTGAACTCAGTGAGGTTTACTGTTGAGCAGACATGGTCGTGACAGCACTGCAAAAAGGGGACGGAACGCATCTTTCGGTTCCGCTTGTCCTTAGGTGAGATAACAGGTGGGGGTAGGCGGAATGGTCCGCAGATCGGGAGAGTGGGCAGATTCTCATTCCACCCTTCCTCCAGTTAATATAGGAAGCTTTATTAGTATTGAAACGTTGGTAAGACTTCTGATGGACCAACTGCAACTGAGCAGTTTCTTGTATTCTTACGTATTTTTATTTTTTGCTCTCTTGATAGTTGATGCGGGGGAGGCGGGCGGGGAGAAAGTGTCTTGGCGCTGATCGAGTTCTTGGCAAACAACCCCTCGGGACTTTCTCCCAGGTTGACAACAACGAGTTATAGGTGGCGATAAAAATGAGGGGGTGGACCTCTGCCCCCCCCTCCCCGGGACGCATCTTCTATGGACATATTCATAGGAAGGATATTATGTTGCAACTAATTATTTGCGTAGGAAATACTCCTAAGGCTTCTCTGTGAAGGGGAGAGAGAAAGAGTAATGGCACGAAAAATGTAACAGTAATCCCATTTTGCCTGTTGGGAACCGCGGAGTCTTTTTCTAGTTCATCACATGACAACACAGGCGCGCGCACACGCACGCACACACATGCGCGCTAACATACGCACACACAGACACGCACACGAATTGTAGGGAAAAGACAGACGGCCCTATAGATTTGCGGAACAAAACTTCCTACAACTTCAAGGCCAGGCTATTGGCATAATAAAGCTGTCTATTTTAGGAACTGGCCCGTTCCTCCTGTCCCCCTCGCTCCGTCCCACCATCTCTGCGAAGTTCCAGGCACTACCCTGACAGTGCTGTATAAAGAAGTTACAATACCTTTAGAGACTTCATCCGCTCATAGGAGGCCGGTCGGGAAACAGATTGGAGACGGAGGGTGAAAACAAAAATCTCAAACCAGATTTATACCTATCCATACAGAAAACAGCGGAGATGATGGGTGGAAGGAGGCAAAGCCTGGGAAGGAGCTAGAGGCGTTTCCAGGCATTGTTCTTTTTTTTTTAAAAAAAAACTTAACCTTATAGATCCTATCACTTATTAGGTGATTCATACATTACATATATGCGGGGGGGGGGTGCGCGCTCAGACAGGAACCTACTGTAGATGCAGAGAGCACATATCAAAGCCAGGTTTTTGTGTTGTCTGAAGTGGGTGAGGCAAAGACGATTAAGGATCACCCTGTCTCCCCAACCCCCACCTCCGCGCTTCTTTTGAAGCAATAGCTACTGGTATTTAATGGCTGGGAGAGTTTCCAATATGTGAAGGGCAGTCTGCGAAAGACACCGTCCCATCTAAAGTGTGACTTCTTTGCCAGTTCTTCGAACTTAAATTGGTCTTAAGTCCAGCTCTGATGTGTTTGTATGTGATGGGAGAATCTTTTCTCGAAGTGTCTCTCGCTTCTCCATCGCAACACACTCACACGGGCTCCCCATCACCGTCTTTCTTGTCTGCTGTTCAACAGTATTTAGGGAGATTCCGTTGGAGAAGAAAGAATTTGTCTTGGTTGCCCCCATTCAAATGAAGTTTATGGCGCTCCCTTTAGCAGATTTTACAACCCGCATTCCACAGACATCTTATTCCACCACCACCCCCTCACACACTTTTTACAGCCCCAGACTTCTCTACAGTTCCTTTTTTGAAGAGAAAAACCATCGCCGCCCATCTACACCCCCTATGCTTGCTGATAAATAGCAACACACTAAAATCTCCAAGTGTTTCAGATGAATGCTGAAGAACCGTTTTCAGAGGAGTTGCGGGGGGGGGGTATCTATGGAAGGGGAAAACACACAAACACATTGCAACACACAAATAAGAGCATCGACTCTGTTAGGAGATTGGGCACACACGAGGACATAAGAAAAGACAGGAAAATTGATTCCTGGTTTCAATCCAGATTCTTTGGACACCAGAGTAAATAGTTGCGGTCATTGATATGGCTCTAGCTTTGAGGAATTCCCATGTCGACAAACTTTGTCCAGCAGCTTCCAAATTCTCCAATGAAAAGTACGAAATGCCATTTTTTTTCTAAATGTGGGGGCTGTGGTGGGAGGAATAAACCACAACCTCAAATAGGAAGGAAATAACATATCTATGCGTTAAGATTTCTAGCTTAAAGAAACTCAACGGATGTGAAAATGAAAACAAGTAGATTATTGTTTGGAATTAAAACTGTCCCCGCCTTTTCTCTCTGCATGATTAAAGCTTAATTGCACACCTTATGAGAAAATAAATAATTCAGCTGTTCTGGTACACTTATCCCTCCCAAAACATATCTTCAAGATTTTGTCTTCTGGGATGAAAAAAATAAATGCTGACATATTTAAAAAGAGTAACTTAAAATTCCTTAAGTGAATCCTACAACACTGTCAAATTGTCCAAAATCTGTTAAGCCTGCAGGGCTATACAGAAGGACTCACATCAAACTCAAAGACATATGTTAAAAAAAAACATACTTATGTTTGGGCTGCACACCTGATTCATCATCATTTAGTTTGGGATTACAGAGCTGAAAAATTAAATCACTGGAACAGAAAACTTTTAAAAAACTGATAATATGAGAATTAATCCACAGTGCATATAGTTCCCCCTTCTGTCCTTCTATGCAGATGCAATCTTAAACACATCTACTCAAAAGTAAAGGCTCACTGAATTCAATAATTCTTCCTCTCATGTACTGTAGCCTTAAACTGTCTGGTTGAAATACGTATGATTTTTGGTTCCCTTTAGTTTCTTTCTTTCTTTCTTTCTTTCTTTCTTTCTTTCTTTCTTTCTTTCTTTCTTTCTTTCTTTCTTTCTTTCTTTCTTTCTTTCTTTCTTTCTTTCTTTCTTTCTTTCTTTCTTCAGTTATTGTGACTTTACTTAAAAAAACTCTTGTTTCTAAGAGAAGATAATTTTATTTAATTTCAGAATGAAAGAATATGAACTAGAAGGGACAAACACAAATCAGGAAACAAACCGAAGATAACTTAATGAGAGTCTCATTTATTGTTTTACAGGGACTGACAGAAAGCGAGGCCGCCAGACCTACACTAGGTACCAAACGCTGGAACTGGAGAAGGAATTCCATTACAACCGCTATTTGACTAGAAGGCGACGTATTGAGATAGCCCACGCTCTATGTCTTACAGAAAGACAGATCAAAATCTGGTTCCAGAACAGGCGTATGAAGTGGAAAAAGGAAAACAAACCTGCAGGCCCGGGTTCAAATAGTCAGGAAAAACCAGATGCAGAGGAAGATGAAGAAGAGTGAAGAGAAAAGAACAGGAGATGGGAGGGCGGAAAGAGAGAGAGAGAAGAAAGAGAGGTGGGGAGAGAATGAGAGAGCAAATGAGAGAGAAATGGATGAAAAAAAGCGTGGAGGGGGAAAAACTGATTCTAATGTCCAGAAAATGAAAGGAAGAACCGGAAATTTAAGAAGCAAAGAAATAAAGACTGTATATTAAGCAAGAAATGAAACAGAAACAACTGGGCAAACAGAGGAGGCGACTTCTTCTGTTGCTTGACACTTGGAAAACTACCTATATTAACATTTCTCTCCTTTTTTGTTTTTGTACAACAAAACAGGATAATAAATCTACCTATTAAATGTCTCTTTAGAATCAAACATAGAAAAATGTTTTGCTATGTGGGTCTTCAAATAGTCAAGTATTTGTAAATGGTCTTGTTTAAAGGAAGGTGTTTTTGTTTTTCTTTGTTTTGTTTCTTTGTCCTTGATGTAATTTTTTTTTAAAAAAAAGGTATTTGAAGTGAAAATGTGGACGTGGTTAGCACTTTTCCTTAGAAAACATGAAAGTCCAAATGTATGAAGGGAACGCAGCATTTAGCATAATATAACTGTTGTACATAATTCTAGGCACTTCTGTCTTTCTCTTCTCCTCCCCTCTCCGTAGGTTTGTGCCTCTACGTCTGGTTACCGGTGCTGTATTTTTTTTTTTTGCTTGTTTGTTTTTGTTGGTGTATATTTTTACATGTTGGACAATGGACCACTTCCTTATTGCTGTCACTAGATCATCTGATATTAATATTGTATTGAGTTAAAAACAATGACAATGTATATGATGGATAACAAATAATTTAATAGTTGGCCAAGCCTTTTTATTCGTATTATGTGATTACTATGCGTAGAGAGAAGGAAAAGAATAATTAAAAATAATCTTACTCAATAGTACGAAATTGTGTCCAGTGATGGCTTTTTTCTTCATTTATTTATTTTTCTTCATTTATTTATTTATGGTCTAGTTACTTTTGATGTTGGTGAGATGTCATTGGAAAGTTTCCCAGTGGATGTGCTTTCAGATGCAGTCCTTCTTTCACTGACCAGGAGAACTTCCTGCTGGATTGGGTCCTGAATGTGTGAATTCAAAATTATGGAAATAATCAGAATTCCCCACTTAAAAACTATCTTCCAACACTTGACTCTTATTTCCTTGAACCATGACATTCCACTTAACAAAAAAAAAAAAAAAAAAGGAGGAGGAGGGATCGACTTCTATCAAAACCTACTCCAATGATATGCAACTCTATGTCACCGTATAATATTAACTGGTTACCAGGATGGGGAGGGGGAGCAATCTTGTCTAAGAAAAATAAACCCTCTTGCAGTCATTTTTGAAGCTGACATGTACTGAATATCCTTCCTCCTTTGATCCTTCTGGCTTCCAGAAATAATGGTAGTAGAAGTAGTGGTAGCAGTAGTATTAATAGTAGCAGCAGCAGCAGCCGAATTTGGGGTTCCCTCAAAGTAAAACAGAAAAGAGCGTCACCTCCCTGTTTCCCTTATCTGGTGATCATATTTTTGTCCTTTTACAATGGAAGCCATGTTCTTTATTAATGCTTTATATATATATATATATATACAGTATATATATATGCGTACACACACATACACCCCAACGTTTTTATAAATCTAAGTATAATTGGCAAAAACAATTAAAGTTAGAAACAAGGAGAAACCACCGTAACCAATTCTTGACACTTTCAACATATTTTTCTCATCACATTTTGCACTTCCACAAGGCTGAGAACTAAGAATGTCTGCAATTTGAGGGGATAAGTGTTTTCAGGAAGGCAGTACATTTAATATTGTTTTTTTTTGTTATTAAAATTTTTATTCATTTTTGTAGCTATAATCAGGGAAAAAAGCCACAATAAGAAATAACCCATGCATACCAATATGTAAATAGAAGAACTAATAAGGGAGTTAAGCCTGAAGGCAAGGAGAATTCAAAATATTTTAGATGAAAACTGGATGGATTTTTGATTCTATCATAATCTGAAATATTTAAAGTCCGCGATAAAAGAAAAGCTTTCTGCAAAGAAGTGCATTTTAGAGATGTAAATTATATTTCAAACGTTTTGAAAGGTTGTGGTTTCAGAAATTATTCCCCATGTTTCTCAAAATATGATGTTCAACGAGAATTACTTCCAAATTCAGTTCCAGATTAAATATTTTAGATGAAAACTGGATGGATTTTTGATTCTATCATAATCTGAAATATCTGGAAACTCTTTAAAAGGCAGTATTTTTACCATCTGTCTATGCAGGGAAATACATGTGAGGTACAGACACAACATACACACACGCACACACGCACAAGTGCACAGAAACACACACACACACATACACACATGTCACAAAAAGGCCGTTCTAGAGATTATATACATCCTTATTTCTTTCTGGAATCTGAACAAAGGGAGACAGGCAAGCACACTCAGACAACCCACATGCAAATTCGAAACTGTATTTATCATAACAAAATGAGAAAATAATAGTTGGCTTCCACCATGGGGGGATAATTGTATAGACAGGTTTGTATTACCAGAGACCACTTGTGTTTTTATGCTTCGGAGAATTTATGCAGCCTAAAAACTAATTGCTGGGCTTACCGTACAAGAAATGTGTATAGTTAAACAGGTTTTATTATTGAAAAAAAGGCCAAGTACAGCCTATTTGCCTCAAAATTATAATAGGTTATTTCAATAGATACCAATTCTATGGCGGAAACTGAATTCTAGAACAAACCTATTGCTTATCTAGTCCGATTTTGCTGCATTGAACCACTACTATTGTTTTCGTGGCATGTACCACTGCAGTAGTGCTTCAAATACGCTAGTGCGCCTGTGCGTCTTCCTCTCTTTCTTTCTAGAATTTACCGATATATAGATACACACTCGCTGGCAACCACCCGCCTGCCTGCATGCACACATTGGCACCCGCACCCAAATCTGTACAAACGTGGGTACGTGTTCGAAAGCTGTGGAACCTTTTATTTTATATATTATAATGTGCGTGTGCGTGCATGCGTGCGTGTGTGTGTGTATGTGTCTTCCCCTCTGTCTATCTATTGAAAATGCTTCTTATAACCTTTTATTATCCTACGCATCCATGGCGCTGAGGCAGGGTGGCGGGGCGAGAGGAGAGAATTAAAAATTTTAATTTTGTTGCGAATTTCTGGAAGGGAAACTGCCTCACCCTGGAGCAAACAATGGTGTTGACTCTAACAATCTCAGTAAACATTTTGCTTTTAAACAGCAAGTAAGAAAAAAAAACACCTTTTAAAAAAGAGTAGTGTCACCCTCTCCCTCACAATTAAAGATAACAGGTATGAAATAAGCGCAGAAACCTGCGTCAGGAGGCATGAAAGGGCCTCGCCAACCTTTAGACTTCTAAAAGGGGGCACTTGTAACCTTTAGCATGTATGGGGGGGTGTTCTCAAGGACCCCCGTCGGGAAGTGGAGGGGGTGCTCAGAATCTCTGCATATTCTTCTCTCTCTCTCTCTTAAAGAAAAGATGGCGGCTGAGAAAAAGACTGCTGTTAAAGCAGTCATGAAGAAATGCAATAAATTCCTTGTTGTTTTATGAAAATTTACAACTTTGTGATAGAACTTTATGAGTGGCTGGGTTCTGCGATTGGCCAGAGCTGGTCATGTGGACTGCTAACCGTGAACATGAACTTTTTATGATTTCCCATGTGGTTATTCTACCATTCTTTTGGCCGCTATACCTTGGGTCGGATCACTGTCCTCTGTAGGACGGTCGCCTCTTTTAACATTTTTTTTTTGGAGTTTCATGTATAAGCTCGATAGGGCTAAAAATAGAGGAGGAGGAGAAGGAGAATCTCTCTCTCTCTCTCTCTCTTACACACACACACACACTCACTCACACAAGCACGCGCGCGCATAGGCGCGCGCATATGTAGGAGTGAGTTTAGATTGCTAATATTATCGATCCCCCGCCCTTTCCGATCCTTAATTCTCCGTGTTAAATTTCCATACTGATTTGGGCTTCTCCGTCTAGTGATGGAGAAGGAGAATCTGCACCGGATGGAGGCTTTTGCCATTTTTCAAAAAAGGAAGTTACTCCATTTTCCGTGCAAAACGACTCCGCGAAGGAAAAAAGCTTTGAGAAGTCGCAATGGACGGCTATCAGGTTGGGACAATATTTGTCAGCTTACACATAAAAGCAAACGCAAATTTCCCCCTTCTCCCCCCTCCTCTTCTTCTTCCTCCTCCTCCCCTAATCTGCAGAACGATGGGCTTCAAAAGGTAAGTCAGTCTCTATTTTTTAATATCAGGTTTCTTTTAAAAGACTTGTTTTCCTTTTCTGTCTTCAAAAATGTGTGGTAAAAGAAGGGAGTATGGGAAGCAGGGAGAGAAGACGAATACTACAGGAGAAAATACATCGATAAAATATATTTCCTGAAGAAGAGAGAAATAGATGCTATGAAGGAAGGAAGGAAGGAAGGGGGTGTGACTTGCAGAATCAGACTTGAAATATTCATGACACCTGGCTATGGGATCTAGGAATTCATCTAGTATAGCTGCCTTTTCAATAATCACTAACAGCATAATAAAAACTCAGGTGGGTCTTCCTCGATTCCTACCCCCCTCCCCCGTTCAGACCTTTTTCCACCTGAAGAATAACGAGCTAGACAGACATGCATGGCATGGAGAGTGTCCTCTAATTTTAGGAAGTTTTGTAGAGCAGGCAGTTCCGTTAAGATGCTTTTCCTCCAGAGTGTTGGGTGACGAAGCAGGAGCCTTTTCTTCCTCTGAAGAACTGTTTTCCTATGAGGGTGGCTGAGTGAGAAAAGAAAAAATGAAAGACAGTAATAATAATTAATAAAGAAAACGACAAAAATAACTGCTGCGATTTTAAAAGTTTGGGTGGGAAATGGATTTGAAAATGAGGACGGCAGGGCTAGGATATTCACTGTCGCAGATAGAGAGATTCAGTTTCTATACAAGGGCTTTTGAAAAGAATTTGTTTTAAAAAGAGGTGTTGTTGGGTATTATACATGTTTTCTTGGGTATCTGAAAGTTGCTTCCTTGCATTTAGGGAGAATATGGTATTCTGAAAGAATAAAGTGTGCGTTTTTCTTATATACTCTGAGGAAACGATGTGGTTGTTTAAAAGGGGGGTTAGAAAAAAAAGAGGATTTAAAATATTTTATGGTTGACTTGTCCATTTTACTAGAATATCTAGTAACCCGTTCATGTGTGTTTTAACCAGAACGGGCAAATAATTTTGAAAATCGAATGCTGAATATGAAAATGGTATACTGGTCAATTTAATATAAAGTAGTTATATAATGTTTCTAAAATTAAAAATTGTATACAATTCGTAGCTTTTTATCTTGTTTTCTTATCCATTGAAAGCATACTAGAATTAGGGAGAAATAAGAAATAAAGTTGAAAACTCGTAAATTAAATGTATTCTGCATTTTTGTAATGGTTACTCTACAGTCTACACTCATTTGTCATGGTCTTTCTTCCCAGCGTTCTTCCTTCTTTTCTATCTATGCAATAGATAAGTGGTCAGTCTATTTTAAAAAATAAAATAAAATAAAAACCGAAAACATTTTATTTATCTTCAAATTCTCTGTTTTTTCTAAATTGATTCTCCCATAGTCACAGGTTGAAATAGATCTCAAATAGAAATGAAATGTTTCTTTAGTCTTTTGTGCATCCCCTGTGGATCAAAGGGGGCTTCTTAGTGGATTGCATATATTTAGATAGTGTCATAATTAAGGGATGCCTATCGGTTAAATACCACCAAGTTGTTTATCTTCCCACTTCTAAACACCGTTATCTATTTCTTTTCATTTTATTAGGGACTTAGCATTTACAGTGTCTGTACGACTCATTCTATGCTGTTTGCTGCCATCTACCGTCCAACAGGGGAACTCTTCCATTACGTTTCCATGCTTTACCATGATTAATTTCCCATGAAAACTAGTTTAGCCAAATCAAGATTTTCATTTTCTACAGCTAATATGTTTTTGTCATGTACTGCATTAGGCACGGCTTACACATTCTGAAAACATCTAAAGAGAATTTCCATCCATCTTTTTTTTAAAAATATACGCTTATCATAATAAACCATCGTTTTTCTTCTTGAATCTGTGAAACATTTTCACGGCTTTTGGGTTGCCCATTATGGTTGTTTTATGGGTTTTGTGACCACCCCACTAAAATTTTGGAAACAATTCTCTTTTTTTTGTTTGAAGGAAGATACAAGTAGCATTTATTTGGTAAGATGTTTAACCTGAGTACATTAGCTGACATCTGAAATTAAGGGCTCAGATGAAGGTTGCCTAGGATTGTTTTTCGGTCGGAATTACTGTATTTGCCCTTACTTCTGCTCGCATGATCAAAACTCTAGTGGTGTGAAGGTGAAGTGGAGGGGGAAAGGTTGTGATACTTTTGGAAACCGAGGATGATGAACTGTGTGATAAATTCCAGTGGATTTGAAACAATAACTCTCCCCTATGCACACGTACACACTCTCCAGTTTTATGTTATCAGCAAACTGAGATGCATAAGAAAATTCTTTTCAGGCCCTCAGAAGTTGCTTATCTCCAGGAAGTTATCCAGATGAAGCCCTTTTGAGATGGAGAACTTTCTGGAAGGTTGTATCCATATTCCTTTCATTCCACATCCTCTCCATTTAAATCTCTCTCCTGCCCACATCGCTAAAGCCAATTGAATTTGCGAAGCTGCCTTTACTGTGTTTTTTTAAAAATCAGTTTCTGATAAAATACTCCTTTCCAGTAGAGTTCATCCCCTCACCCCGCTTTCCTTTCTGCCCAGACAAATCAAGCAATATGGCATGCATTTCATATATGCCCAGTTACCCTAAAACCTCCAATTTCCTTTTTTGTTAATTATTAGTTAAAATCTTTAATGAACACTTTAACTTCCGCCCACTTCCGTCCTCCTTCTGTAATCTCATTAACAATAGTATAATACACTGCAGGGGAAGTCAGGTAAATTAAGTGGAAATGACTGGAAAATAAGTTTCGAGTGGTGAAATGCTTGAAAAGAGGGAAAGGAGGTGTGTGTGTGTGTGTGTGTGTGTGCATGCGCGCCTTGGGGGGGATCTTTAATCTACATATGCTAGCAAGGTAGGAAAGTATCACTTAGATGCAATTGAAGTATGGTATAAAGATGACAAAACAAGCTTATTCTTTGTGAATAGTTTTATGGTCCTAAATAAAGTCATGAAGATATTCAAGAGAGTTTTGTGCATGAGAAGGGGCACTTTCATGTGCTTAAAGGCTGGCCTTTAGTTTATGGTACCAATTTACAGTTTGTCTCTTTCTGCCCCAAATCCTGCTGGTTTCACACTTCTCTTTCCTTCTGAATTCCAGCCCATTTAAAAAAAGAAGATTCCAATAGTCTTTCTAACTTTCATCCTATTTTACCTCTGTTTGGAAATTTCTGAACTGATTTAACTTTGCTTTAACTTCTCCTTCTCTTGCTACGAAGCCCTTCCTCGGCCCAGCATCTGCCTGAAATATTTGGGTGTTGCTTTTAATCCCCTCATTTATCTATCGCCTCCTCCCTGCGCCTTTCTGTGTGCTTTGTAAAGTTGGCTTGTCTTAAGCAGTAAAGGCAGGAATGAGAGGAGTTGAAAAGAGTGGAGGACAGAAACCTGGAGCATTTTCCAGCTACAAAGCACCAGCTACGCAAGTTGTAAATAAATCTGTTTAATCTTTATTTATGCTTCGCCATTTGAGTTATGCCACACTCTAGTCAAGACAGATTCTCGGAGCTACAGGGAAGGTTACTCTTCACCAGTAACAGGCTGTATGTAGAATCCGCATTTCTCTGCTTTGTAATTGCACACAGATTGCTTCCAGATATGAGACCTCTTACACAGGAAGGCCCAGTATAGTAATCTACAGAGATTTCAGGGTATGAAATTTGAGTATTTTCACAGCGACAGCAACACAATATGTCAGGCTGGCCATGCGACCACTTTCTGCAGATGGACTGGTTCAGGCACAGACTAACAATTTATGGACAATCTATCTTTTTAGAAATACCTACTGTGAGGTTAAATATTGAGCATCAAAATACCTATGCCATTGTAGAAGGAGGAACACCAAAGGCATTTGCTTCAAAGCAACCTTTTAACTGATTAAAAGAAAAGACTTTTTTTCTCCTGCACTTCAAAAAATGTGCGACACGTACAATAAATTTTAGCCCATCATCCCCTATCAAAGTCATTTTTAAAAGAGTGATTAATTACTTTAGAACAAATAATGGAAAATTCTTAAATTAATACGACTCAACTTAAACAAACAACAGTCTTTTCTTACTGGGTGAAGAGAGCCCCCACTTCCTTTTTAGCATTTGATTTGTTAGCAATTAATTATTAGTAAGGGAACTTCAGGCAGTCATTTATTACTAATTTTAAAAAGTTTTCAAACCAGTTTGAAAAAAAAAAACTCCCATTTCCCCTAGTTTGAAAGAAGAAAGTTTTCCTGAGTCACAAGCAGATTTCAAAAAGACAGAATTATATCAGATCTGTTTTTCTTTACATGTGCCAACCCGACCGCACCCCACGCAGGCATGGCAGTTCCAATAACGCTTTGAATGCTAGTATCACACGCTAAAAAGAAGTAGCGCATTTACTCACTTATTAAACCATCAAGCAGTCAAATGTCAAATGTGAATCCAGATATTCTTGTTCACAAGTGATATGTCAAAGTTTCTAAACAAGAGTCTGAAGGCCTGTGTTCGTTTTCAAATAACTCATTGGGAGAAAAGGGTCTTTCCACTTCCTTTCTCCTCCTCTTCCTCCCCTCTTCCCAACTCCTGATGAAGCAGATCCATAAAATTTGGATCTACTCCGCTCAGAGGGTGCGGGGGGGGGGGAGAGAGAACCTGCAGGAACCGATGTCACACGAACCAGAAGTGAGAGAGACGTTTGTGTGTGAGAAAGAGAGCAAGCTGTAAAAAAAAAGAGAGCGAGCGAGCGAGAGAGAACCACTTCCTTTCCCTGTTATTTCCTTCCATTCTAAATGCATGGCAGCGCTGTAACCCACATGGACTTCCTGGTTGTCATTAAAATGAAGCCTTGTAAGAAACGAAATCGTAATCTGGTCGGATTTCATGACTCCTTTAACCCTCCTACAGGGAAAAAAAAATCGCATTGGTTATTTTGTAGTAGGAGATCACGTTGCCATGTAAATCCGATCTGGGAGCAATTCAGTGTTATGTGTGGTGAATAATTCCTATGTGTAGATTGCATAGTCTGTTATAGAGGGATGACAGATAGGTCGACTGCAAGACCACTACATTCGTCCGGATTGTGGTAATGTCGTTAGACATTGAGACAGTCAAAAGTTGTGATAAATCGGAGACTCATTTATTTATATTTTCAGTCTGACCTACATGCTTGGTGGAGAGAAGGTATGATGGTTTGTGGGCACTTAGAAGTTTCAGATTCACAGAAACTAGATGATAGATAGATAGATAGATAGATAGATAGATAGATAGATAGATAGATAGATAGATAGATAGATAGATAGATAGATAGATAGATAGATAGATAGATAGATAGATAGATAGATAGCAGGGAAAATGAGAGAAGGCATTAGCAACTTGCAGTTTAACAAAGCTGCCTTGTTTTTTTTTTAAAGTCAAACTATTTCTAAAAGCTTTTATTGAAATGCAAAATAATCCCAAATGAAAATGCAAGTCAAAGGAGAAAACACATGCCAATTGAATTATGCACCACAACTGCAGGAATCTGAAGGTTGTTGTGACTCTAGCGGAGCAGTGACTTGTCCCGTTTGAGGAATACCCAGACAAACAGGAAGACATGAGCCCGAAACTTCCGTCATTCGAATAACTCTTCCAGATCATTTATCTATTTATTTTTGAAGGAGTGCAGGAATGTAACCAAATTCTGGAGACAGATACGTTCCATGTAATTAAAAAAAATACGAAACCCAGAAATACACACAGCCTATACCACAAAACTCAAACACAAGAAGTAGAGACAGAAATTCTGTTCGCCGGCTTGCCTCTTTATTGACAACGCGGATGACCCTTCCCTGTCGCCTTAAATGTTCCACCCCGCCCCCATGCTTGGTGATCGATAAAGAGTGTTCGTGGCCATCAGACCGGCCTCTGTCTTTAAGTCTGAACTGTCCAAAGACGCGGCCTTAACTATAAAAACGCAAGAGGGCACAGTTCTTTAAAGATATACGGAATATCGTCCGAGTTGAGCACTAGTCCCGTCAATTTATCTTCCCGACGTGATACAAGGTACAGCAGGAACTTAAAAGTGAGGATCTTTTACCAGGCTGGAGGGATCAAATATGCAAGTGAGTGTGTAAACACACACGCACGCACGCATACACACCCCATCAATTAAGTTAATTTAATAAAGTGGGTAGGGGGGCGCGTGTCAAAACAGATTCCTTCGAGGGGCCCCCTTCCCAAGAGCAGGATTGAAGCAGTTTTTAAAATAACGATCTGTATACGATAGCCCCCCCCCCACAAAGAAAGCCTGCAAAGATCGTACGGAAGTTTTTTTCATCGAAGAACTGAAGGCTGACACTTCCTCTCTCTCTCTCTCTCTCTCTCTCTCTCTCTCCAGCTACCATTATCTATTTTATATCTTTATTCCTATCTTTCTATGTTCTAGAACTTCTCGTCTACTCTTGAATCCTGTCAACTCCCCAAAGGAGTAGGAGAAAAACTAACTGATAATTCCCCTCCCACTGACCAAACTTTTCCAGAAGAAAAGAATTCAGCTTTTCTCTCCCCCCCCCCATCCCCGTCTCCCTGCCAGAGGCGATGATCATATCAGATCTCATTTGTTTTATTTGGCTTTCACTCTCTCCTCTTCCACCTTTTTCTTCGCCTTCGTCTTCTGTTGATGTATTTGTTATTATGATTTTTTAAAAAAACAAGGAAGGTCCAAAACGTTTTTTTTTGATTTATCTTTATCTAGATAATTAGTATGTGGTTAAAGGGGAGGGGGGCTTATTTGTGTATGTGGGTTTTCATGTGCGTGGGGGCGCACGTTTCTGTTGTTTAAAAGTGATGGTGTTGGTGGCAAGATGCTTTGGCTGGTTTGTTCTAGGGGGGTCCCCTGTGCAAAGCTAACCCCTCTAGGGTGCTATTTCGCAGTCTTCGAGTCTTGCTATTGGTCAGCGCGTGATCAGATGGTTCTCTTTCCTTATGTCCCTGGTTGGCACGCGGCCATCCCCCTTCAGCTAAAACCCAATCTCCCATATACTGCTAATAGCTAAACCGCTTGGACTATAAAACGCAACAAATCATAAAGACCAAGGGAAAGAACAGGCGCTGTTTTGCTGGTTTATTATTGTTATTATTGCTATTATTATTATTATTAATATTATTATTTCCAATGAGTTCTTATTTTGTCAACTCTACTTTTCCGGTGAGCTTAGCCGGGGGTCAAGAACCGTTTTTGGGACAGCTCCCCTTGTATTCCACGGGGTATTCGGATCCTTTAAGGCACTATCCGGCCACTTATGGGACTGGGGGTGGTGGAGTCCAAGAGAAGGGTTACCCGGGCGCGCCTTACTACCAGCAAGCCAACGGAGCTTACAACCGGAGCCCAGCCTGCGATTACGGGACATCTGGTTTTTACAGGGAGAAAGAGACAGCCTGTTCTCTTTCGAGTTTGGAGGACCCTGTTCAGTTCGGTCAGGAGCAAGTCCGGAAGTCAGACTGCTCCCAGAACAAACACGTTTTCGGGGACACCGAAGATCAAAAGTGCTCCACTCCAGTTTACCCCTGGATGCAAAGGATGAACTCCTGTAACAGTAAGTTGCTCTTATTTTCCCTTTCGTCTCTGTAACGAGGGGTGGGTGAGTGAATGGATAAACAGGTCGACAGATAGAGAAGCTAGCCCTCCATCCCATTTCTTTCTGAACAGGAAATGTTCCCCTTCCAACAATCTCAGCTTCCAGACAGTGGGACAAGAAAGTTTACTCAAACTTTTATACAACATAAATCCTACTTAAAGCATGCATGCTTGAGAATCTTTGTTTTGTTTTGTTTTGTTCCCCCACTATAAAAAAATTCTGTGATTTGCAACAATAACCTTCAGTTAGTTCGCTTCTTCAGCCAACTTTCTCTGTCCACCAAGGCACACAGAGATTATTGATTGACCGGTTCTGTCTTGTAGAAGGCGATGTTAGCTGTCACTTACTAAGAGTGATTTAAAGACGTGCCTGGAGTATTCTCTCTCTCTCTCTCTCTCTCTCTCTCTCTCTCTCACACACACACACACACACACACACACACACAAGGAATCAGTATAATGCTACATCACCCCAAATTTAGCAGACCAGGATTTCACCCACTTTCTCAAACCCACTCTACCCCATTCCATTGCCATACCAATTCATATCGGAGGGAGTGTATTCTCTAACTCCCTTGAATAATGTCAGAAGGGCTTAAATATTTGAAAGGAAAGAGCTGCATTTTTAATGAAACTCAGGCATAATGAAATGCCTGTCTGAAGAGGAGTTGCATATAGTTACTCCTTCATTCACTCCTTCACTCCCTCCCCCCACCCTACGAATCCCCCACCTTCTTCTGTGATCGACAGTTGCCTCTAGGTGCCATATTATTTTTCCACGAAAACACTTTTTAAAAAATGCTGAAGACATAACCAGCAACTCCTCCTCCCCTCTCCAGGTATACAGATCCTGCATGTTGTCAGTTTTCAAAATTCCTGAGTGAGCGGGAGGGGGCGGGGGGGGAAAGAGCAATCGATATACTTCCTCATTGCATAAAGTCTCTAATCTATTACAGTAACCGATAAATAGAAGGGAAGGGGAAAGCAGAAATGAAAGGGGGAGGGGGGACACAATGCACAACGTTTCACATAAGGCGAAGGGAATGGGTGTATGATGGCTGCCCAGCAGAATAGTGTAGAGAGAGGAAGAGGGGATTCATAACTTTGAACATCAATTCTTCCCAGATACAAAGTGCAGAAAGAGGTCTATGAGGAAAGCAAATGGTTTAGCAAATCCTTGCGAATCTTTCAGGGCTACTCTTAAAACACATTAACTGAGAAGCAAAGTCTCATTGATTTCTATGCACCATTACATCCCAGTGGCACTTAGATTCTTTACTTGTTTACCCAGAAGTAAGTCATGCCGGTTATCTTCTTGCAACTGCATTTTCTTCCAAGTTAAGTAACTTTCAGGACTACAGGCTTTACTAGTTATGCAGAACAGTTGGATCACTTTATTGGTGAAAATAATCACCCTGGGATTTACTCCCAAGTAGGAATACACGGGACTGTACCCTGAGTCCCCCACAAACCTCACTCAGCAGGGATAGGCAATCCTATTGCACCTTCTGACCGTTTTCTCCAGTCTTTAAAACAGAAGTGGCAGGCTTTAAGCTCTCACAGAACTCTTCCTCGGAACTTTTCCACCATCCCCTTAGTTTGAAAGAATAAGCACACGAACATCTAGAAGTTGTATGGCGAGGCTGCACATTCTCAAGGTGAAACTGCTGTGATCACAGTGGGATCACTTCAGAGGGTTAACTGGCCAGGGGGTGGGGGCTCGTGTCCCCACCGTTTCAGCACAAACACAATGCACCTGGGGGTTGGAAAGCCAGGGGTAGTAACTGTGATATGGTTTTCTTCTTTGTCTCTTTACGGCACCCACTGGTGTGTTTTCTACACAGTCTGCGCTCATAAACGGTTCCTTGTGATCAGAGAGAGTGGGGCGATGGACTGGGGAGAAGGCCACGCAGAAAAGAGGACTGATGGAAGGGAGGTGAACACCTCCTTTCTCTCTCTCTCTTTCCCTTTTCTTTAAACACTGGAGTAGAGTACTCATTACCGAACGTATCTGGAACTCCCAAGACATGTTTCTTCTCTCAATCCACCGCCCTGTCTTTTTTTTTTAACTCCTACCAGGTTCCTCCTTCGGGCCGAGTGGCAGGCGAGGGCGACAGACCTACACCCGTTACCAGACCCTGGAGCTTGAGAAAGAATTTCACTTTAACCGTTACCTGACGAGGCGCCGCCGGATTGAGATCGCCCACGCGCTTTGCCTCACCGAACGCCAGATCAAAATCTGGTTTCAGAACCGGAGGATGAAGTGGAAAAAGGAAAATAAGCTACTGAATTCGACTCAGTTGAGCGCCGAGGAAGAAGAGGAGAAGACGACGGAATGAAAAAGAGGAGGAAGGAGAGAGGGCGGGAGGGAGGGAGGGGAGAGCGTGGAAGAAGGCGAAAATGCCAACAGTTGTGGAAGCTTCAAAAGCGGCAAAATTAAAAAAAAAACAACAACACAACAATGAGGCACAACCAACACACACGTTTTTGTAAAATACCCGAGACTGTAACGACAGTGTTGGCTCGCTGTCCTTTTGCACCCTCACTCGCATCCAGTAATTTGTCATAATCAAGCTTCTAGTCCAGTTTTGTTTTTCCCATCCTTTCTAGTGACCCTCTTCCCCTAATCACAAATGGATTAAAAAAAACTTTGGATGTCCTTCTTAGGATTCTTGCTAACCCTTATATTTAAGTGGAGGTGCTGCAATATATGTGTCAGAGTTGGGGGGGGAGGGAGCCACTGGTTGTCTTCGTTTTGTAAAACAAAACTCTCAAGCACGATTTTACATATATGTGTTGTTGGTGTTGGGTTTGTTTGTTTTTTTTAAAGCTAAGTTAATCGAGCCCTGTCCTTGAAGGGTTTCCGGGTTTCTTGGGTTTTAAAGAGAAGATCTATTCAGAAAGAACAAAGACTACCTGGAAAATGTGCAGAAATTTTAAAAGAGGGGTGTTCTCGTTTGCTTTATTTTATTACAATTTGTACAGTGTTGTGTTTGTAGTTTGTGTTAGTTATTGAGATTTAAAATCGTCTAATAAACAACAAACAAACATGTTGAGAACCTTTGCCATATTTGTATTTTGGGGTATAAGTCCTTCCTTTACCTCCTTCATGCAGAATTTGCCTAAATACACTGGTTGTTTGCTTGTTGAAAAGGAAGGAAGGTAAAAAGGAAGGAAGGAAAGGCCTGTTCTCTAACAGAAGCTTTATCTGTAACCTAAATGGGCAACCATTTCTTCAACTCTTACAGAAGTTAGCACTGAAAGATAACATTTGGTGTGCTCTCCCCCCCCCACTTCCAATTCTTCCTTCTAATCTTAAGTGAAAGACCTTTTCACCAGCAATATCTGGAGTTGACATTTAACTTTAATGTGGATCTTTTTATTGTTACATCACAAAAGAGTTATGAAGGGGGATAAGGGAAACTCACCTCTTATATAATAAATCACAAAGGAAAGCCAAGAGTAAATATATCCCTCATCACATATCTGCTAAAAGATGTCTTATATTTGTACAACCCATTTCAAACACTAGATAGACTTCCTCTTAGTGCATTCTCCTCTCCACACTCTCTGGTTCTCATTCTCTCCCTCCCTCCCCCATCCCCCCTCACACAAAAACCTACCTATTATTTATATATAATCCAAAATTCAGTGAAAATTTGCAGCTACAAGCTAGCCACCCTTTCTGTGCAGGATATTGAAAGATTATTCTAACAGAGAAATAAATGAACAATTATAATACAAGGCTTGGTCACACAGGATTTTAAAAGCAGGCTTGCACATGCATCTTTCCATTCATACACCTTTCTCTTATATTGATGGAGGCCTGCTCTTCCATGTTTCACAAATTTCCATGGATATACCTTTAGAAGCCCTCTGGAAGGTTTACTTTAGGAAACTGAAATGTATAACTATCCACTGATTTGTCTTTGCCTCTCCTTCTGTAAAAGCCAGCAGTTTGCAACCATTTCTGTTATTTTGCATTTCCTGTGCATAAAATATAAAATTAAAATAAGAAAGGGAAGGAAAGGGAAGGACAGCTGAGGAGGTTATGATAGACCTCTAAATGTACAGGTAGAAATGTCTCCCACAATAAAATTTGGTGTAATGATAATACCGTAATTTTAAAAACTAATTCATGCAGAAGCCTCACAGCTGCAGGACACTTATCCTTATTGCTATTCTTTTCATTGGCAGTAATTATTATAATTATATGCCACTTTCAATATGGCTCATAATTTCCAATGATTTGTAGGCTAACTTGGAAATTCCTGAACAATCTTAGAAGAAGTAGAGTGAGGGGAAAATATGGAAGTACTGGACAAAGCAACGTTTTCATCAGTCTGGACCATTTCTGGAATCTTTATTCCCACCAAACATATATTTACACTTTCTTTGGAAGGTGGGAAGACTCTTGCTTTGTGACAGTTCCTTCAACAGCTTTTTCCGTATTCCCACTAGCGATATCTCGGTCTGCTGAGTGAGGACAGAGTCTGCTCAGTTTTTAAGGGGAGCTATTCTTTCTCTTCTCATATTTGCACAGTAAAGGTACTAAAATGCCATGATGATGATGATGATCATAATGATAATGATGATAATAATTGTTATAATGATAATAACGTGTAATGAAAAGGCATGCTAGGAGCAATATTAACATAGGCTAATGCTCATTTGTAAAGTCATTTTCTTGGCGCACTCCTATACATGTCTACTTGGAAGTAAGCCCCATGCACTTCGATTGAACTTACTCCCAGGTAGGGCAGTGGGTTGAATGGGGAAAAAGAAAGTGGGGAAAAGAAGGAAGAAAGGAAGACAGAAAGAAGAAAAAGGAAAAGAACATCTTTTCTAAAAGAATTTTTAGAAAAGTTCTGTTCTGTACGAATTTGGTATCTTTTGTACTATAAAAACTATAAAGATTTTGGAATTATAGTTTATGATCCCAGAAACAATTATTGCTAGTAAAATGATAATAATTTATATGCTATAGTACACAAAAGAGCAACAGTATGAAAGAAAGAAAAACACCCAGTTCTGCAAGAAGGAAAGGAGAATAAAGAGAAATGAAAGAAACTGAAGCGACACTGTTAGATAGGGGAAATATTTTATTTTGTGAAAAGATGGGCACAGAAACAGACGGCTTCGCTCTTTTTTTCTCTTTTTTAAGGTGGGGGAGCTAACCTCCCTGCTCGCTAACTCTTCCTTTTCCCAGTAGGTGGCGCGCTCCGCCAACAAGGCGGTGTCTCTGCTTGCTGATTCCTCCCCCCTTCTTTCCTCCCCCTTTCGGAAGCCGCGCATTGACATGGGCCTAACGATTCTCGGATCGTCATTATTTGTAACCATAGAGCATGAATTGCCTCTTGAGGTCATCAGTGAGAATTTACGACTGGTCAACAAAAGCACGTGATTCCCAAACGCACCCCCACCCCACCCCCATATTTGGCCGCATACATAGCAAAAACGAAGTACAGTGCATCGCTATAATTCATTAATACATCATAAATCCTCAAGCACAGGGGTTATAACGACCACGAGCCCCACAAATCAAGCCCTCCAAAATACAACCCAAATGAGTTCTTACTTTGTAAACTCGTTCTCAGGACGCTATCCTAATGCCCCAGACTATCAGCTGTTAAATTATGGGACCGGCAGTTCCATGAACGGATCTTATAGAGATCCAGGCAACATGCACGCCGGCTCGTACAGTGGATACAACTACAATGGAATGGATCTCAGCATCAGCCGTCCAACCTCCTCCTCCAGCCACTTTGGAACGGTTGGAGAGAGCTCCCGAGCCTTCCCTGCCCAAGCAGCGCCCGAAAGCAGGTTCAGACAGGCGTCTAGCTGCTCCTTGTCGTCTCCCGAGTCCCTCCCTTGCACCAGCAGCAGCAGCAACAACAACAACAACACCTCTACCAACAACAGCAGCAGCAGCAGCAGCAACAACGGCGGTGGCGGCGGCGGCGGCGGCGGCGGCAGCGGCAGCAACAACAACGGCGAGAGCCATGGAGGCAAAGCCGCCTCGTCTTCTTCCCCGGCCGATCTGGCCGCCGCCTCGGTCGGCACGGCCAACGCCGCCAGCTTCGCCGAGCTAGACGAGACGAGCGCGTCCTCGGGAACCGAAGACAGCAGCTCCCAAGTCAACAGCAACAGCGCCCGGGCTCAGGGAGACCCCATCGCCACCTCCACGCCAGCCCCAGAAGGACAGAGCCCACAGATATTCCCTTGGATGCGAAAACTTCATATTAGCCATGGTACCCGCTCCTTTTTCCTTTAGCTGCTGCTGGGAGGAGAGATCGAGATACCTAAGCGGTTGGCAGGTCCGGCGGGGGAAGAGGGGTGGGAAAGGGCGAGGGGACACAGCGGCCCGGAGAGACCTTCTGCCGGGGTCTTAAGACGGGCGTCCCTTTCTGTTTCCCTTCTGGACGCGCCTGTAGATAAATGCGTGCCTGTTGTGAGCCAGGGTTGCTTGCTCCCGCTTTAACAAAAATAAAAAATAATATAAAGAAGTAACGTGCTCTCCTGGTGGAAGAGATCAGGCTAGAAATATCAGAAAGAAAAATAATGGGGGTGGTGTAGTAATAGTAGTAATAGCAGCAGCAGCAGCAATAATAAGAAGTCATGGGCTGCAGGGCTTTTAAAATGGAATTTAAAAGACCGGGGATATGAAATGGGGTGAAAGGATTGTAGGGGCAAAGGAACTCCGTTTGGGGCGCATATGGGTCTGCCAACCTTCCCCTCTCCTCCGCTCTTCCTCTCATCCCCTCATTTTGAGAATTGTGGTAGCAAAATAGGATAAGGGCAAAGTCTTTCGCTTTACCCCTCCCCCTCTACGGTAAAATAAAATAAAATAAGAAAGACATTTCAAAGAAGGGTTTGATTTGCAGAGTGGCTGAATATGGACTTGTTTAACACGCCCGTGCTAAATGCATTTGGATGAAAAAAAGCAACCCCGGAGGAGTTTAGTGGAACCAAGTTCTGCTGGAATTCGTGGGCAAGATCAGGGAAGTTAGACAGTAGCAGAAAGACGAAGTTAACTAGCACCGAAATTTGCAGGTACTTGTCTTTCTCTCTGTGTCTCCGCTGTAACTGAACTGATAACACAAGCACAGAGAAAGAGAGAGAGAAAGAATAAGTGCCAGGAGTTTCAGCCTGCAATCTTCAGTACTAAAGCTGACCTCCTAGGCACCCTTCCTTGCGAGGAAGCAGCACCAACATCAGTAAGGTTTTGTTTGCAAGCCAGGGTTATTAAAAGTACACAACTTGTTAGGGAAACAGGAGAAAGAATATACAACGTAAGAGAAAGCGAGGGGAAGAACAAGGTCACACACCCCTACATAAAATTAGGTAGAATTAACATTTGGGGGGAGAGGCTGAAAATGTGGAATATTGACTTGGGGAAAAAGTGGGAAAGGAGAAAAGCCAAAATCTCGGTCTGTACTGGGGTAGTGGGGCGTTATTTTCCTCTTAGCCCAGGGTGAGTGACCAGTTTGAAGCAGGTAAGAAGAGTTGAATAATCTGTCTCTGTGTCGTACCTAAAAAATAAAGCTAAGACAAACAGAACCTACAATGTTGTCCATGTATTATTATTCAGATATGACTGGACCGGATGGTAAACGAGCCCGAACGGCGTACACTCGCTACCAGACCCTGGAACTGGAGAAGGAGTTTCATTTTAACCGCTACCTCACCCGTAGAAGGCGAATAGAAATAGCCCACGCGTTATGTCTCTCCGAAAGACAGATAAAAATCTGGTTTCAAAACAGGCGAATGAAGTGGAAGAAAGATAACAAACTCAAAAGTATGAGTTTAGCTTCTGGTGGTAGTGCTTTCCAACCCTAATTTAAATCAAGGAGGAATCTTAGGAAATAGAAAGCAGGCTGGCGGGGCGGGGGGGGGGGGAGAGAAAGAAGGAAAGAGAATAAGAAAGTTTAAACACAAACCAAGAAGCAGCCAGGTTGTCTTTTTGTTTTGGGTTTTTTTTTTAAAGTTTGGAGTACTGTAAAGTAAAGCACTTTCCATTCAGCATGCTATTGTTTTTTTTAAAAAAATATTATTGTTATTATTGAACAACTTCCGTGGTACTATTATTCCAGGACTGTGTCTTTTGCTGAAATCCTCCCCTTAAATTAAAATATTAATAATAAATATTTCCAGAGGCTTCTTTAATGCTTTAGGTGTTCTAAATGTTTTGTGTCTGTGCTATGATGATGCTTTCTGGAAGAAGTTAGCATGTTTATTTTTATTTTTAATGTGAGCTCTTTAAATGTTATAACTTATTTATAAACTGCTGTGGAAAAAGAAGGTTGGGTTCATCAAAAGTTTGGGGCTTTGAGGGGTTGGCCATCCTGCTCCTTTTCCTTCTGCTGGAGTGGATAGTATCCTGCAACTTCAGTGGCAGGGGAAATTAAAACATCAAACACAACGATTTAAAAAAACCTATATATATATATAAGCTCATGTATCTTTCTGTCTTTGAAATTGTCAAGTCTGTGATTTGGTTCAGATTTGCTGGCCTTGTTTTGATCGTAGGCCAGTTCTGAAAGTTTTTCTTTTTTGTAAAAATAAATGTGAGTGAAGTTCACTTTAAAAGGGTATACGATTGGACCAACCATAGTATGTTGAAAATGTTTGTAAATATTAGAAATATTTCTGCAGTGACTAATAGGAAGTTTTAGTGGGCAGGGTGAATTCAGTGTTCTGTGTGTCTGAAACGGCATTTGTCATGTCTAGCTGCCTGTTCTCATCTTTGCCAAGAAGCTTTTCGTACCCGTTTGTAGCCTTAACTTGAAGTCAAATAAACATTTCTCCTGGCCAGAAAAATACCCTCCTTTGTGTTTCCTTATACCACTGAGGTTGGTAAATCTCAACCCTAAAAGTTACTCCTAAGTGCAATACACACTCCAGATACACTGATGGAGTCTTACCACACTGCATAGCCCATCTGCCCAGTTGTCCTTGGGGCATTTTCCCCAACCTTAAAAACTAAGTATGCAAAATCATCCCTTTCAGATGGAAGGGTGGTCGATTAGGAAAAAGGAACCCAGGACAAAACTCAGTTGCTGTGTCCTCAAATTTTGCTTCCTTTCTTTACATGCTGGCCCTGGGCACCTTTACTTGACATTAAGTCTCAATTTATTGCAATGGCCTTTACTTCCAAGTAAACATGTTTGGGATTATAACATAAAAGACCATTCAAAAAAAAAAATCAGCCATTCTGGACAATAAGTTAAATTATCATAACAGTAAAAAGGCCTCTGAATTGCCGAAGTGTAACACCTTGTTAGTTGCTTTTATATTGGTATCATTATTATAATTACTAATTCCTCATATAGTCTTTAACTCAACATTGAACAACTGCAGTTTTTTAACTTCCAATATACTTTGAGACTGAAATAATCTAAACAACATTCAAGCTTCTTTCCCACAAATCTTAAACCTTCCTTTCTTTTCGTTTCTTTTCCTCCCCTCCTCCCCCAGCCAAAGCACTATCATTAAACTCTGTTGGTTCTAACAAGGAAATCAGTAGTTGTATATGTACATAAATAATCGTTTAGATCTGTCTGTCTCTCTAACTCTCTTGAAGAAAGTAAAATTGGTCTTATAAAACTTACCCCGAACTCTTTGGTTTTGAAAGGGCTGAGGTCTGAGTTGTCATTTCCAAAACAACCCATTTTCTCGCCATCCCTTGAATACACAGATACACACACACACATACACACATATTTTACCCATAGCAAAGTAAGTAAGTATACCAAAAGTGGCTGTGACATTAAGATGTCAAATGGATAGGGTTTTATCTAGAAGTTAGATCGTAAAAATCGCCCAGACCTCAGCCAGATACCCCTCACTGGCTCTCAAAAGTCACGTGAGGTCCATAAAGTTAGTTTTATGGTTTTGGGGAGTTGACAATGTACAATATATTTCACATTCTCCAGAATGTTAAGTGACATTTTAACTGCCTGCTTTGGCTTGGAAGGGGGCAGGAATAGGAGCGCACATTTCCAAGCGAGATAAAGACTTCTCCTTTGCTGGAATAGGAGGCACGGACGCTTCAGTGTTTACTCCAAAGAGGACTTAGAAGCTGCTAACCTTAAAGTAAGTTTCGCTTGAAATACTATCTGCTTAAATGACTTTTAAAGGGTTAGATTGTTACAGATTGGGCAGGAGGGGGGCTAAAAGGGAAGGGCTTTGCGTCTCTCTTTCAAACTTTACTCTGCGGAGAATCTTAGTTAATTGAAAGTAACACAGGGCCCCGGTTATATGCTGGGTCACTAGATTTTTTAAGAAAAGTTATAAGATTAGCAAAAGAAAGGAAATTACAAAGTATTTCATTAAGGTGGGAGGTAATGTTAATGTGGGGGGCTGGAGGGATGGGGTGGGGCAGGCTATATAGGCAAACTTCTCTTAGTAGCTTTGTAAAGAACTCGGGAGAATATATTCTGTTCCTGGGAGTGCATTGGTGGCAAAGTATTGAACATCCTTAATTAGAATAAAGTTCCACCGGACTGTGTGGGGTCCATTTCGACCTTCCACAGAGTGCCATGGCACACGCAATGCACAGATGTGAAGAGGCCGGCCTACATACAGATTTTTTTTTAAAAAGAATCTGAATAACCAACTCAGAATATTGAATTTTAACAGGTTTCTCAGGGCGTTTAGGTTCAGGACATTTCTTGGGCCTACTGTCTCCCTTTCCCCTTTTCAGAGGAGCTATGTGACAAGTGTCCTTTCTTCAGCATCCTTGTCCTTATACACTTGTTGCCACTTCCCAGGGCACCATCCATTGTATCATACTGCTGTGCAAACCTTGGGAGAGCACTGTAAAGCACTCCACTAGTGGAAGTAAAGCACAGGGCATCCAGGTCTTCTAGCCTATGTTGTCTCTGCCCTCCTCTCCACCTTGCCCAAGTTTCTGGGATGCATATTTTCTCAACAGTACCCTCCCCCCACGAACACACACATGCTTCAGAGACTTACATTCAAGTAAGTGTGCAATGGTAAACTGTATGGATGATATATACTGCTATCCTATGCACACTCCCAAACTGATGGGATTTACTCTGAGATTGACATGGGTAAGATTGAGCTGATAAAAATGAAAAACATCTGCCCTTGTTCCAAGGTGTACATTTTCCTGTCACTCACTTAGGTATTCTTAACAATGTAAGGCAGGTTGCCTATGGCCACTTTTGAAGGAAGACAGATAAGGAAGGAGGAAGAGGGTGTGTCTCTATATCCCACTTCTTTGTCCTCAAAAAACAGATCTTTCCTGACAAAGCTAACAGACAGATATTTTGCAAGTAGGGCCTAAACTAGCTGCTAAATAGGTAGGAAATGCCTTCGTTTAGAGTTTTTAAAATACCATGTTTTAAGGATCCTTGCAGCATAAATATCCAACATTGAGCCCGAAACTATTTGTATGTGGAGTTCAAAGACATCACATTTAAACTTGTGTTGTTGTTTTTTGTTGTTGTTGTTTATTTATGTACTGTTGTAGTTCTTGGTCAGACAAATCAAATATTACAAACAAAAAGAATAGACTAGATCTTCATAAGGTACAAATATTTCCTTCCTTCCTTCCTTCCTTCCTTCCTTCCTTCCTTAGGCTTGCAGGATCTTTCCTTAATCAGTAAAAGATTGTGTAGAATCTTGGACCCAGAACTCAGAAGATAGAGCCTCAAGAATGCATACTGGCAGCTGCATTCTTTAAATGTCTATGGAGCAGGCACCCTGTCCCATGCAACCCTGACGCTAAGTGACATTAAGCTTTGTGGGCTTACTCTGAGTAAATTAGCACAGGACTGGTCATAACACAGCAATGATAACTCGTTCCAATGAACAGGCCTGCATATCCAGCAGAAGATCTTGCCTCTTCTTATTTAGCACCCTGCATTCCAGATTCCCAGTGAACTTTGGGCATTGTTAGAGGCTTTAAGAGGCAGCTGATCTGTTTTGAACTAATCTGCAAGTCCTGTCTTTCATATATCTCTAGGTCCCCCTCCAAAGTGAGCAGGCAGATGGATATGATTTCTTTTAGTAACATGAACTGCGGAATTCCATCATGAACATGCTCACCAAGTATCATTCCCACTGTGCTCATGGCAGATACATCTAATGACAAATAATGTGGTGTGTGTGTGTGTGTTTGTGTGTGTGTGTGTGTGTGTGTGTGTGTGTGTGTGTGTGTGTGTGTGTGTAATATCAAGGATAGGCCACATACAAAAGCCAAGGGCTCATTTCTCTGGACCAGTGGAAATAACTAAAAGTCCTAATCCTTGGATACAATGGCAGGAAAAAGCTATCCTGCTTGAGTTCCATTTTAATGGCTGGGACAAAGACCAGATCAGGATTATTTTAAGCAGAAATCCAGCCAGAACATTTCCTTATTAGTTGATCCTGATTGGATTTCCTTTTTTCTTTCTTTTTTTATCTCAGAGAGTGGTAAGGGAGTATCTTTCAATTATTTCTTTTCTTCTGTTCTCCCCTCCTCTTTTCATTCTAAGCTAGGATTTTTTGGTCCACCGGATATTTGGTAGACATATACCTTTCAGGGTTCATTAAAAAGGATTGTTTTAGCTGCTGCTTCTCTGTTACCACAATGAGGATGCATTTCCTATTATTTGTTAAGGCTGTCCTCCTTACCAAACAGCAGTCCTTTTTTGCTGAATATGCCACAGACTCAGGCTGCAGGTGATGGAGTTTACTTTGAATGAAATTCGAAAGTATGTCCCCAAAAACTTTGTTCTGGATATCTGTGGGTCTAAGACACCTGCGTTTGCAAGGTCTGTTGAAACTTGATACAGCCACAATTCTATTTCTCTCAGCTGCAGATCTAAGCATCTTCTTAATCTTATTCATGTCTACTCAGAAGAAAGCATCACCGAACTCTGTGGGATTGATTCCGAAATTAAGAAGTATAGCTTGCAGACTAAATATCTTCAGCTGGGTTTTAAGGGATCTTAAATGTACAATTTCATGCATGTCTGCTCAGAAATAAATAAGTCTTATTGAATTCAATAGGTTTTTCCTATTGTAGGTGGATATAGGATTTTAAGGGTTGAAGCCTACCAGCATGTATCTCTCTCTCTTTCTGTGTGTGTTTGTAAGTCTTGTAGATTTTACGTGCACAATCATGGTTTAGGAGATGCTGTGCTGTTTCCGCTGTCATTCAGTTTCTCTAGAAGGACACTGGTGTGTGTGTATGTGTGTGTGATCATTTTTTCTTCATATGATGTTATACTTTAAAGATAGGATAGATGGAATTACTTGGAGAGGAAGAAAAATGAAAAGAGCAAAGATAGATAGACACAGAACAGGGACACTGTGGTCTTTGATTCTGAAGAACCAAGACAATAGAGAGCCTTATTGTTGAAAAAAAAATCTTAATTTTCCATCCAGGGGCTTGTCTTTCCCACCATACTCTTTCCTTTTCTCCTCCCACATCTTTCTAGAGCTCTGTCTGTCATTTATTTTATGTTTAGACCAACCATCTCTGAACATCTCGCCTTATATACCTAGAATTGTATACTGCTGGGTATGATTACTAAAGCTGCAAGTTTAGGGAGAAATTCTGCTCAAGCTTAATTGAAAGCAAGCACTCTTCCGTTCAGTGACTTCCAAGGATACATCTATAAGATTATCGTGCATCTCTCACTCTCATTCAAAAGCTCTTTCTTATCAGGGTGATACCTGGAACATCTCGAAAGAACTGAATCAGAAGACAAAGACCCTCACTTAAAAGCTGGCTTATTTGTCTATTGGACTGATTCCTCTTCCCCAAACCCCTTGAATAAGGGCAGCAGGCAAAATGAGAACCTTGTCTTGAAAAATAGTAAAGATGAGCCAGCTCACCCAACATTGCTGTTGAGTGCTACACTCTGGCTCCATGAAGAGCCAGCTATAGGGGAAACCATCCTGAAATAAAGAGAATGGATGCTTTCCTTCCCTGGTTCTTCAATGCCCAACAACCCTAAAGACAAGAATGTGAAAGCTTCCCCTCAGTGTCCTAGATCCTTGATTCCCTAAACCAAGGCACATGCAGATACCTGAAGCATCAGTAAAGAGAGTGGGCCCAAATTCCCGATGTTTAATGTTCCTACTACACTTAAATGTTTTCTTCCATAAGCCAGTTGGCGTTCCTCTAAAGGTGTTGTCCAGAAGGTTGGTTTTATTTCTCCACAAAGCTCTGGAGAGTCTTCCTTCATGTATGTATCACAGAGAGTACTATGAAACTATTTGACAGCCAAGAGGAATAGGATTTTTCTTCTTCTTTTTTATCCTCTCTTTTCTCCCCTCCTTTTGTCCCCTGTGTTTTTTTCTGTAAGGGTTGAGAAAGTTTCTGCAGAGTAAACAGGAAGGCTATTTTGTGTAGACAGATGTGAATTCCTACAGAAAATTCCTTTCTGCTATTGTATGCAGGGTTGTATGCTTACTATATGGAGTAGTCTATTTCTCTCCTTGTGCAATGTAAACAGGAAAAGGAAACAGTCATCATATGTACAGAGTCATAGCTTAGCAAAATATTGTTTTATTTTCTATAGT